TATCTGTTTTATTCCTTACCCAAAACCTTTTTCCACCTGGTAAATTGTCACGAACGATCAGTCTTAATTCCCACTACTTGTTGATTTTCCGAAATCCATGCGACTCACTTGGTATCTCGACACTTGCCAGACAAATGTTTCCTAAATATACCAATTACCTCATGGAGTCGTTTGAAGATGCTACGAGTAAACCTTATGGATACTTGATGATTGATTGCCATCAGTTGACACCAGAGAACATGCGATTGAGAACCAACATTCTGCCTGGAGAGAGACAAATTGTCTACATAATAATCTTCGTAATAATCTTCGTGTAACGGATGCATGACAGAGCATCTGTCTCAAACGCATCATCAATGTCTTACGATGGAAAGGGACGAACAATTATGTTTGTATTTTGACTATGCTTTGGAAAAGGCTTCGGAAACGAAAGTCATTGAAGCTTTTACTAGAAGTTTGAGCGAAATGAAAGTGCACAAATTGATCAAGTATAATGCGGACAATTGGAAACCCGTTTTTTGCGTGGACCACAGACGAGCGTTGAAACACGAGACCTTTCAGTTATTGTAACCTAAAAAAACATACAGCGTCGACACAATGCAAATTGTCATGTGAGCAAAATCTATAAAAACCCAGTACCTTTTAAAATTTTTGATCAGATCAAACAAGCATTTGATAGAAGCAACATGGCTTGGAGAGACATCGTAACTCATTGGCTCTCCGACAAATTCTTAACGCAAGATGGAAATTTGGCAACTTTGGATTTAATGAAGCTTTTGATAGAGAAGAATATGATACCCTCAACGCTTATTGACAATCCGACATTGCACTCAATCATATTGACGCAAATCATATTGGAAACATTAACGGGTGTAATGGTACCTCGGGCTCCACAGGGGAACAACTTTACTTATCATATGAACGCTAAGGAAATAATGATGTGGGAATTGGCTAGAAAAAATGAAAAGCAAGTCGCGACACTGGAAGGAGAAACGGGGGTGAATCTGGATCACTATCACAAACTGAACATCAGAAATTAACTCTGAGATCAAGCGATCTTGTAAAAATATTTATTTCAAACTGTTTATGTTATTTACAAAGTTAATACCCATAGGGTAATGTTTTACAATCATCAATAATTACATGTTTGTTATATACAATATGGTAGTCCTTTTTCATTCTTTTCGTTTCAATGCTTTTTGTCTTTGTGTTTCTTGTGATCTTGTACAGGATATCAACCGTCACCTTATTGTTCACATTACATACTGCGTGCAAATGTACTAATTCACGTATAACATCAAAGTTCACCATTTGCCTTGCGGTGCAATTCAACGTAATACCGCGTATTTTCGTCTCCACTTTGTTGGAACTGGTCCGATAGCAGTAATTCTTCGGTCCGCCCGAAATGAAGGTTGTAATATGTCCTTCTTTCAATTCATCAGTTAGTTGACCGAGATATGGACCTATCGGAGGCTCTGGTTCTCCCGGTTTACTGACAAATATCACAGAGTCAGTATCGTAGTACAATACTCTTTCTTGCAATTCGTCCAGCACTCCGTAAAGCTTGAGTCGCGCATAGGCGGTTGTAAAGGCGGCGATGACCACATTGGTCTTGGAGTTTGGCGCTACAGAATTCTCGTTGTTTTCGTAATGGATCTCAATCACTTCATCGCTTACGAAATTTGCATTGAGAACGTTGATCTCGTCCGAGGTCAAATAGTCGAGAAACGTTTGCACGTCACTGATCAATTCGACTTTGGTCATATTGGGACGTTGTGCAAATTTACCTATGGCGAAAAATATATTATGAGTATTTGTAGCGGTAACGTTGCACGGGTTCGGATGCCACCTAAAAAACGTTTAGAATACATGCACTGTTCAAAATACATACCCCAAAACGAGTTTAGCATGAGCTTGGATAACGCACGCATGCCTGGATTGTGCTCGATTTTGCTTCGGTCCAACTGTATTCTTTCAACTGCAAGGTACTCTTCTACGTACTGCCGTTTCTTCTCTTCCGTAGTACAGTCCTTTGGGTAACCACTGGCTTCTTGTTTGATTTTAAGGAATGTGTTCACGTAGTCCTTGAACAATTCGTCCGATTGTTGAGGGAAATGCCATACCTCGTGGAGTTGCAGGACTTGGTAGCCTTTCTCCAATGCTTTCTCCAACTCCACGCTACACCACGTTCCTTCAATGGCTCTTTCGTTGTCGGAATGGGTACAAGGGGTCTGGTTGCACGTATCGGCACACAACTTGCAGAGGGGGAACATCAACTTGCCCTGAGTTCGATAAGGTAAGACCGGGTGGAAAAGACCTCGAGGTATCTTCGAAATTTTCGGTAATGATGCGGGGATGGCCAACAACTGTCCGAGTCATTTTGTTGCACCATGGGTAAAGACTCGTAAAATCCACATACCTAAGTGAAAAATGACGTCATCAATATATATGCCGTGACTTCATAATCGTTCCTATGATTTTTGTTACATCTTACCTTATTTTCTCACCATCTTTACATTTGTGGAACAGCTTTGCGGCGTTGGTATGCCCACCAAAGAAGCCATCACGCGGTTCCAAAGGTTCGACCAGATCGTAGCTATCGAAGTAAGCCTTCATCTCTTTATCTTGTTCCAGTTCTTTCTTAATATCACATTCCCAAACTTCAATCACCACAAAACCATGATCCTTCAGGTAACTCATTTTCTCCACTGTGGCTTGATGAAGATCTTGCATCGTCTTACCATTGACTGTATTTACCGTGTCCCGAGCATAGCATCTCAAACATCCTGTAAAAAATAAATAAATAAATAAACAATACTATTTCTGCTTGCGGTGTCTATACGAGGAACCCGTTCTTTCAAGTTAACTTACCGTGCCAGAAGCACCCATTGATCTCGTAGGCCGTGTTGGTTTCTTCATCATAACCGTCCAGTAGGTAATTGCCAACACGCTTTTCTCCTGTATTACGTGCATGTTGAATGTAGAGGTCTTCCTTTTCAGCCTTGTACGAAAGCCATTTCAAAGCCAAGAGGGATTGTTTGTCTTTGGGACGATAACCGTGAGGGGGAATGATGGCTATAGTGTTTTCTTTCAGGAAGTTCTTTCGGAAAACAAGATTACAGGCCGATGCAATAGTGAGACATTTCTCGAACTGATCAATATCTGTGACATCACGAAATAACTCGCGAAATTCAAGGCAACAGCGGCGTAATATATCGACATCAGATCGACAGTAGATCAAAATCTCTTGTTGGAAGTCGAACACATAATTGTTCTCTCTCAAACCATTGTGCCATTCCAAAAAGTTTTCCTTCTCCTCAGGACTCATTCCATCAGGATTGTAAAATTGGCTAGGGGGTAGGGGTCCAACATAATTCCTATTTTCCTTTCTGTTGAACAGATGCGGGAAGTATCCTTTTGCAAGTTCGTCCAATCCAAAGGTTGTGGGGAAGTCAGCGAGTCTCATAGGTATGAAGCTTAACGAGTCAATGAATTTAATGTTAAACATTGGCACCGATAACGTAAGGACCATTGCACCTCGCATAATCACTTCGGGAATTACGCCGTTCTCATGTAAATACTGGAGAATGAAGTAGCTGTCATAACCTTGGAAGTTGTGTGCTAAAACGATACACCCTGCATGTTCCCTTGTGAACAACCATTCACAAAATTCATTCCGCGTATTGTCCCCTTCAAACACCCACTCGTCACCGGCCTCGTTTTGCACTACGCACAAGTTGGGTTCATGATTTCCATTTTCTTGGCGACACTCAAAGTCGAAAAATAGCAGTTCGTTGTACCCACTTTGAGGGGCATCATCTCCGTCATGTGCCTCGGTGTCGAGAAGGTCAGTGTCCTCACTAACGGTCGTGTTTCTCTCTTTCTCAGGTTGCATGTAACATTGATGATTCTCGGCGGGGACGTATTCCTTACAGGTCGAGCAACGAGTCAAGCCGCAGTGATGCCGCCCCATTCTACCCCGTTTTACAACAGTATGACAATCAGGACATTTTACTAATGAACCACAAATAGATTTGCATTTCCTACAGTTTGTTTATGTCGATCGAAACATTCTTGACCTTTAAAATTTCGCTTGCAATCCGCACAAGGCAGCCACGAAACAATTGGACAATTTTGAAAATAACATAATTTACACGAGTTAGGGCATGAATGATCAATAACTTTATCATACCCCTTTTTACAGGTATGACAATAGCGTTTTCTGGCAAAAAAGGCCGGCATACTCGTAATCACATCATAGTGATTGTCATGCAAAAATAAATAAATTATTTTGTCTTTGTCAGAACCGGAAAAAATGATGGAATTTTGATGTTCTTTTGAAACGATATTAATTTGATAATCCGATAAATACGTTTGAAAAAGTTTGACTTCGCCTAAACCGCAAGAACCTATTTCCACCCCGGCTTTTTGGTGCAAATCATAAGCTAATCGTTTTTGTAATGGTCTACGGGAATCCTTTATAGAAATATACTGGCTATCGTTTTCAATTTTGGCCTTGGCAACAACTAAAGCACGAGCTAAACAAATGTCGTCCTTGTTCTGAATACGAATAATTGAATTCTTTTTCATCAAATGTTTTTCCAAATTAATTTCGCAACGTTTTGTACCAGTACCGCCATTGGGCATTTGAACATGGATTAAATTGACATGGACAGAATCGTTTAATCGAAATTCATGATTAGATTGTATAACACGTTCAACTTCAGCCAAAACCCGTTCAGTGGTTAGCCTTTCCCGAAGCATAAATGGTAATGAAATGGGGGTTTCTAGTTGAGGCGAACGCAACACAAAGCGGACTTGATCGTGCAGTGGAACACCTTCGGTCACAGTTTCAAGCAAACTTTCAAAGATTTCATGAAGGGCAAAAGTATTCGCGAATTGAACGGTATAATCACTACCAACAGCGTTAAACTTTTTTACCTTCACTTGTTTAAGGTTTGTAACAGTAAAATAGTTATCTCTAACCTCGTCACTAGGTCCAGCGTCGTCATTCACTTCCTCGTGGGCTCTTTTCTCTCCTCTACCCATCTGAAAAAGCCCAGTATCGTCATCCCAATCGTGCTCAAACTGTGCCCTCTGCTCACTCGTCCACATTGACATCATATTCTCGAGTACGGTGCCCTACCAAACGTTATCGACCGTAACGGCTCGTCATCTTTGCACATGTCGAGAAAACGCTGTCGTTCTGTCGGTGTCCAACTGTCCCCAATGGATTCAATCAAGCCCATGGCCCTATGCTCTCGGCCCCATTCAAGAACTCGCTGTACAAGTTCCATTCTTCGTTCATAGATTTTTTCATATTCGAAAAAGGTCATATCAGACCCCAGTTCTGTTTCCAACTCTCCAAGCTGTGTCAACGTTTCGCAGTTTTCGATTCGACTATCCATGTTAACTTCAACACAATCTTGTTCACTTAGCAGTACTATAGCTTGAAATGCACTATGACTGAAACTGCTCTATCGCATTACGTAAGCATTTAACCTTGACAGACACATTAGCGAACGTTCATGTTCGCCCACGCATTCATACTCTCCGTTAACAACGAGTTTGTACTACGTAAGCATATCATACTCTAAAACACTGAACGTTCAGGCTCACCCACGCACTCATACCTATGGTAATAGGCGTATGTTTTAGCATTGTTAATCTCAACATAATTTGACTTAAAAGATTTGCACATAATAAATATTATGGCTCATCTCAACTCGCTAATTATCTGTTAATAGCTGTACAAAATAAATCAAATCCCATGTATTTCACAGAGAAGTTAGCTAAAATAGAACTTAAGCAATGAAACACGATAAATGTATGTTTATTAAATGGGGAAAATCATAAACTTGCGAAAATGTGTGTGGTGAAAAATTTGATGAATTTGAATTATGGAAGACCATTCTTCGTGTGTGGAGAAAAGGCGAAGCCGTGTTCCTTTTGGATGTGGGGTGATGTACAGCCGTTAGCGAAACCCGAGTGCCGTCATGGATTACCGTGCGCGATTCGAAAGGTGAAGAAAGAAGGACTCCACAAAGATCGATTGTTCTTCTGTTGTCCGAATGGCAAGGAGAGTACGTGTCGGTTTTTCGAGTGGGCTCCTGACGAAGAATTAGGATTTTTCCAAACTGTGAACTTTAGTAACGAACCGTTAGAGAAGCAAAGTTGTAATAAAAACAATTACTTAGCAACTAAATTCATGCATGATTTTGCAAACCAGTTACATTTGTAGATTACGTGTATTTATAATAAAATGTTTTGGTTGTTGTATTCATTTGTTGTTTTGCTGCGATGGAAGTAATATTAAATGAGTTGCAGAAAAATGGCGTTGTCATTGACATGAGAACATTATCTCATCATATCAATTGTCTGCTTGAGCGTCACGAATCATTGTACATGGCTCATTTCAACTCGCTAATTAGTAATTAAATATCTCAAATAGAAGAGAAAGAAAAAAAAACTCATGTATTTCACAGAGAGGTAAACTAAAATAAAACTTTATCGAATGGGGAGAATTCGTTTTCGGCAAAGAGTACACTATACTTGATTTTTCCACACGTTAGACCAGTCCTGACTCCCAGCGAGTACTTGCACTACTGGTCACGACATCTTCGTTTGTTGCCCAGGAGTAACGTCTAACAACAAACGTTTACTCTATCGATAACATTTGTGTCTTTTTTCACTTATTACTATTATTATAAATGTTTCGGCTATTTCATGGACTGTTAAAACTGACGTTGTGACCAACAAATCCCCTACAGTGAAAACTGGTCTTGGTCTGGAAAACTGTTCATCGAGTGAGGAGTATTGATTTTCAGAAAAGTGTACACTACACACGTTGATTTGTCCACATTTTAGGGGTATTGACTCTTAGCGAAACTTGATCGATGCATACTATAAATATATGAAAAGTGAAATCGAGCGTTTCGTTTAATCCTTTTAGTATATTTGGTGGCTCTTAAAAGAGCCGTTTTTGTGTATCTTGTACGTCTCCCTTACTCTAAAAGAGACGTATCAAAATCCAATACATATTGTGCGGCTAACGATTCTTCTTGACGGTCTTGCTCACTCGATTCCTTGGCGCGTTTTGCCTGAAACTCCAGAAACAGCTCCAGATCCCGCTCCGCTACAAATGCCATGAAGTCTTCAAGGATAGCTTTATCTTTTTGCTTTCGTCTTCTGTACTCACGCATACGTAGGGCATCCTTTTCTGCTTTCACCTCCATCATTATGAACAAGCACGAAATGTGCAGTGCAATTGTATATTAAATACATTTAGAACACATGTGCAATAAATTAATGCTTACATTTAAACCGGATACATACAATTGAACGTTCATACTTCATAATTTACGCGGGAATAGCTGAATGTGCATACTTCATAATTTATGCGGGAATAGCTGAACGTTCATACTTGATAATTTATGCGGGAATAGCTGAATGTTCATACTTCATAATTTATGCGGGTATTTCCGGTGATGTTATTGATATGACGTCATTGGCGGCATCCCTTTGGACGCTGGATGGGGTTACCTACTTAGGTACTCTAATATGGCCACTCGCTTTGGAAAAAATCCAAGTACACTGTGTCTGATTTTCAAGACAGTTCTCAACCATGTCTACCAGTACCATCACCATCTTCTATCCCCTGAGCAACTTAATGCCTATGCAACTACCATTTACAACCACGGTGCACCTCTTCCAAACTGTTTTGGTTTTGTGGATGGCACTGTTTAGACGGCCGGCCAAAACCGGAAAATGTGCAACAAAATTTGTTTGATGGCATTTTCTGTTACAAGCTGCCAACTGACATTTTCGTAGAGTATATGCATTAACGAACAAGACTAGACTTGTTGGCAACTCTAATTTTGGCTTTATAGATGAAAATTTGAGAATTTGAAAATTTTGTCTATAAAAAGTACTATATATGATGAGAAAAATGCAAAATTACAAGTTCACATTTAACAAAAATAAATTATACCATTAGAAAGTTCGCAAAAAAGTATATATAAGACATTTAAGCGAGTAGTATGATTTTTGTAGCCAATTTTGTGCTTTTAACACTGAAAAATGAAAAAAAACTGCCAATTGATGCCGATAGTTACTATTTTGCCAACTTTAAGCCCTTTTAACTCAAAACTTGCTTGAAAATTCGCACTACTCGCTTAAATGGCTTATATATACTTTTCTGCGATCTTTCTAATGGTATAGATTATTTTTTTGAAAAATGAACTTGAAATATTGTATTTTTAGTCAACATAGTACTTTATTAGGCAAAATTTTAAAATTCTGAAATTTTCAACTATAAAGCCAAAATCAGAGGTGCCAACATATATAGTCTTGTTCACCAATGTGTAAGCTATCAGAAAATACCAGTTGACAGCTTGTAACAAAAAATGCCATCAGAGTGTACATTTCAGAATGTTGGCCGGTCGTCTAATTCGGCGGATCGCTAGACCCAAATACCTTCAACGAGTGCTGTATAATGGTCACAAAAGGGTTCATGCCATCAAGTTTCAGAGTGTGGTAATACCAAATGGCCTCATTGCAAATCTTGCTGGTCCATATGAGGGAAGACGACACGACAGTACCATGCTATACGAATCTGGCTTGCTACCAAACCTAAGGCGTGTTGCCCATTATAATGGCCAACCTCTTTGCTTGTATGGACCCAGCTTACAGTTCATCTTCAGGCACCTTTTCCAAGCAGAAGCATTACCCCAGAAATGCAAGCCTACAACAAAGCCATGAGTGCTGTCAGAGTGTCAGTGGAGTGGATGTTTGGAAATATAACCAAATACTTCAGTTTTATAGATACACTTGAGTGCAGTAGGTAATATGTATGTTGTTTGTGCACTACTTGAGAATGCTCGCACTTGCCTTTATGGTAATATTGTCTCAAAAACATTTGAACTTCAACTACCTACACTGGACCAGTATTTTTGGTAAATTGCTTAAATTACATGAACTAAGGGACCGTTCATTATTTATACCCGGGGTTTGTACCGAAGAGATATGGGTTGGGTAATTACGTTTTTGACTAGCTCATGAGTTGGGTAAAAAAAATTATGGCTGTTAATTATGGCAGCTATAAAATAAAATAAAATCAAAATTTTTAATATCATGCATTGGAAAATATGAAGAAAAATGTGTACAATACATATATTCTGTACCAAAATAGATCATCAGTGATTGAGGAAGAACTCTATCATTGATCAGAAATGTGCTTTGGCACACTCAGTGAGATTAAGTGAGCTTTTAGAATTTAGGCGACTTGATTTATGTCACCATAATCTTGTGTGTTTAATTATTAAGAAGTACAGTCTGTAACACATGGGTTGGGTAAACATTATTTTGGCCATTGTCGAGGTTGGGTAAATAAAAGATTTACTACAGTGTTTTTTGCTTTTCTTCGGTACCAACCCCAGGTATAAATCATGAACGGTCCCTAAAATTAGACAAATTGATTGAACATTTTTTAATATGTTGATTGAATACATTAATAATGATTGATACATTGAATTATTTTATATTAACATTGAATACATAATTAATCACATTGAATTGTATTATATTAATTAAAATTAATATTTTTAAAATTGTTGAAAACTGTTTTAACAGTTAAAACACTGTATAAATAAATGTATTTGACTTGTTTTAAATATATTAACATGGTGAAATGTTTATTCTTGGTTTTTCCGAATAAGTTCAATAATGTTCAAAAGTATGCTGTTGTTGCATCAAAGCCACCATCTGATGCTGTAGCATATGGTTGGCGATTTGTTTCAAAATTCAACAGAAAATATTTGTTCAACTTCAAGAGTTTGCATTCATATTCAAGAAAAATATTCATTCAACTTCAACAAATTTATTCATATTCAAGAAAAATATTCATATTCAACATAAATATTCATTCAACTTCAACAAAAATATTCATTCATATTCAACATAAATATTCATTCAACTTCAACATAAATATTCATTCATATTCAACATAAATATTCATTCATATTCAACATAAATATTCATATTCAACATAAATATTCATTCACATTCAACATAAGTATTCATTCAACTTCAACATAAATATTCATTCATATTCCACACAAATATTCATTCAACTTCAACATAAATATTCATTCATATTCAACATAAATATTCATTCAACTTCAACATAAATATTCATTCAACAGAAATATTATTTTGCATTCAAGCTCAAAAATATATATTCAAGGCCTCAACTAGCCTGCGCGGCAGGCGGTATTTCTAAAGGCAGCGAAAATTAGGGAGGCAAAGGAAATACCGTCTGCCGCAAAACTAGGGGTTTTTGAATTACCCGTCCGCTGGTGAACGGGAAAAACGGATTGGTTAGTATTTTTATGTAGTTGTCAATCAACGG